AGAGTCTGGCGCGTGAGACTGGGCTTGTCCTCTGAATGTCCTTCTGGGTTCTTTGGTAAATCTGCTCTTCTAGGAAAACCGAAGGGTAGACACCTAGAAGTTTCTACTCATCAGAAAAGCCATGTGTAAGTTCAACCTCAGTTTTGCTTGCCATTGCAAAGACCCCACCTCTGTACATGTTGGGGCCATGATCATTTTCCTGGTGTGTTAAAATTGTGAGAATATAATAGATAACTCTCTTACCGGATTTTGGATGGTCTCAGATAAATGGCATAATTCATTTGCTTATAAATGAGGCACAGGAAGTAGCTTCCCATCTGTACATGCTCATGCTTAAAATTCTTATGATATTAGCAGATTCTTCTCTGTGTTGGATAACTCCAGTTTTGCCTGACTGCATGGCTGAATATTTCCTGGCTCCTGCTGGCTGTGCTTTCCAACGGAATATAAACCATAAGTTCTAAGTAGAACCAGTGAAAAATATTTGGTTCTGTCTTCACTGGGAAGAAATTGAATGAACCAAATTTTTTTTCTGGATGACTGGGAGAATTTTTCCAGCAATGGGACAGGAATAAACAGCCACAAAATATTTTTAATAAGATGTTGATATTTAGATTTTCTAAACCGAATTTATTTCTAGTACTCATAACAGTAATAGAGTTTCTTTTTAAACTGTATTCATAAGAGGGTGCATGTGAAGCCCTTCTGATGAGAAAGGACTCTTAGGGTGAGGAGCAATATGCAGAGTGATTTAAGAACCAAACATTTGGAGGAAGGCTTTCTCAGTTACATCTTAACTCTGCCAGTGTCATCTTGGATGTGTCTATCTCCTGCTTCCTCAGCCGGAGAAGGCAGCTTCTCTGGAGAACCACACTCTCGCATCCATGTCTCCGTGAGGGAACCAGTGTGAGCAGTCTGTTCACGAGCACAGGAAAGGGAGGAGGCAGAGGAAGACTAAGCTTCAGGACTAACTGCAACTCCTATATCCCTATCCCTGTTGTCAAGTCCCCCGGGGTCCCCCAGGAACACTGAGATAACCACAGAGACAAAAGCCCTTGGGTGCAAATTTTGCATCCTGTTGTCTGTTCTTAAACAGCCAAGAACCAATATGGCTGACAGTGATTCTAAAACTCCGTTACTAGGTAAATACCCGGTAACCAATCACGGCCAAAACTGAAGACTAAGTGATAGTTCAGCCCTGCACTGTGGCAACCCCTAGAAATGCAGGCATGGCCGTCTACCGAGCAGGAACGCAAAGAGGTCTTTGAAATGAAGACGCCCAGCCCACTCCCATGCTTCTGGAAAGCAGCAAGTTACTCCTAAGTTACAGATGAGACTGCATTAGTCTACTGGTGTGGCACTCTCTCCACTGCCCCGGGGGTGTCTCTCAGGTGCTCACTCCTGCCTTAGGGAGTATGAGCAAGGAAAAATGGGTAAGCCCAGGAGAAGCTCGCACAAAGGAAATGTGCTACTTCTCCAATCAGGACTCACCATGCAGCCTGAAGCCAGAAAGGATGGGGAATGGGAAAGCGCTGGCTGCAGGGTACTTGTAGATGGCTGTTACCAAACTGTGTCCCATGCACTTACGAAGAAAGTTACGGTTTCTACAATTAATGTATGCTAGTTAAAAAAACAAAAACAAAAAAACAAAAGCAAACAGCAACCACATAGAGCCTGTATGGCTTTATGGAGAGGGGTAAAAGGATTTCATTTGGAGGCTTTCCTTCAGAACACATTTGGGCAGCCTTCCTAGAGAACGGATCTGTAAAAGGCTGTCCATCTTTGGGTTCTATGACAGAGTCTTGCTGTGTGGTCCAGGCTGAGCTGGGACTCACTCTCCTCCCAGAGAACGTTAATAACGGCAGGTTGGGTGTGTGTGGAGTATATGTAAGGGCATTCACCATGACTAACAATGACTTAGAAGCTTGTACTTTAGTAATTTCCAATAGTTTCTTATGAATGGCATTGTAGATATAAATCATGTTTCTGCCTGCCGCAACCAAGTACCACAAGCTGAACAGCTGCAACAGGAAAGGTTTATTTTCTCTCAGCTCGGCAGACTGTAAGTCTGAGATCAAAGGGACAGCAAGCTTGGCTGCTTCTAAGGACTCTGCCCTGGGCTTGTAGGTAGATGATCCTGTGCTCTCTATCTTCCCTTCTGGCCCTGGTCCTTATTATAAGGACATGTGTCATGCCGGATTAGTGCTCACCTTTATGGCCTCGTTGTACTTCAGGTATGTCTTTAAAACGCTGTCTCAAGGCCTAGGCAATCCACGGGGCCTTGGGTAAGTAGATCAGTACTTATCCCCAGCATACAAATGGACTTTGGATGCCCATCCTATAATGAGGGATGTTCTCTCAGCCTGGACTCTTGGAGGAGGGCCTAGGCCCTGCCCTGGATAAAATGACAGACTATGGACACCCCAAAGGAAGGCCTCATTCTCCTTGGGGAATAGAGTGGGGATTGGGTGGAGGGGTTGGGGGGCCTGGTGGTTGGGGAAGGAGGGGAGAGAGAGGGAGAGGGAGCTGGGATTGACATGTGAACCATGCTTGTTTCTAATTTAAATTTAAAAAGGGGGGGGCTGTCTCCAAATACAGTTATATCCGGATACACTGGGGTGAGGCCAGGGCTTCACTACAGGAAGTTTGGGATGAGATGATCCAGCCCAAACCTCCATCTATACCTGTACCTACAGTTACTTCTATATGTGTCTATGGAAACGTGTCTATATGCAGGTTTGTATGTCCGTTTAAGCCTGAACTTCTCAGAGTGAGGATTCCTCTAAATCCTGCCTTGTGACAGCGAAAGGACACACATTCCATCCCCCAGATTAATTAGCACGTGGCCTGTTAGCAGACTTATTAGGAACGGGCACTCTATAGCCAACTGTTGTCTGATTTCCAGGCTCTTTGAGGCTGACTGCTCCGTTATTGCGGGGAAGAGAGAATATCTGGGAGGACCAGCGGGGCTGCTGGTTTGCCAGAGATGAAAGGCTCGCTGTGAACAGCCAGAAAAAGGCTTTCACTGCGAGCATCCTCTGGCCTCGGGTCTTTGATTCTCTCTGTGCTGTGTGTCCCCAAAGGCTGGGACACTAGACTACACATGAGAGCCGCAGAAGGGAATGCGGGGCTATGGTTCCACTCCTTTTCAGCACACGGGCGGGCTGCGCTTCAAAGTGAACGCACAGGAATTTACCCAGGAACCGCCAGCTCCCCACCCACCCACCTTCCTCTCTCCCTCTTCTTATTTCTCCATCTCCTCTCCATCGCTTATAGAGTGAGGGCCTGATGGGGAGACCACGCTCTCTGTGTGGCCCTATGGAGGTCACAGATGACGCGGAGGTGTTCTGCCTTTTGTATGTCTTATTCAGATAACCTCTTCCCTGTTCCGGGCTAGCCTGTGCTGTCTGGGCCATTCTCTGACGGTTATTTGGCAGAGCTGAGCCCCGCATTAATTACCATGGCCAGGCCTCTCTTCCTTTCTAAGTTCCCAGTCCTAACTGTAAAAATGGCAGCGCTCTCAGCCGAGCCCCGCCCACCGCCCACACACCCTCCCTCACAGCCAGTGGCTGAGTAGATGCCCAGGTTCCTGACCCTTCCAGCCTGGTGGTTATCACCTCACTCAATTGCTCCCGGGGGCTGCTTTGCCTTTTTCTAAAAGCTGTTCCTTTGGATTCCTCCCACTTCTTCCTCTCCTCACTTTGACTGCCTTCCTGATTCGTGTTGATCATCTCCGATGAGCTGGGTTAGTGTACAAAAATAAAGGTTCCTATGATCGCCTTCCTCTCTGCCCACTGTTTATCCCAAAGAACAAATATACGCCTCCACCCCAGTACTCCTGCCTGGAATACAAGGGTTCAAAGAGGCTCCCGTGTAACCCTTCTGCCCTCACTTACCCTAAATAGTCTTTCCATTCATTAATCAGCGTGTGTGCGTTCTAAGGGAAAGAATGGCAATCAATGTGGAGGGCCAAGAACGCTATCCCATAATGTGGCTTTAAACATAAGATGTGGAGACTTGATCTCAGTGCAAAGCATTAGAGTCTCCTTGAAGATTTTTCATGTTCACGGTTTCGCTTGGTTGGATAGAAGGGGCCAGAACAAGCTGTTTTATTTCTATTTCAGTCAACACAGGCAGAGTATGCATCATCCCCGAACGTGCCAGACCAAGGGTGACTGCTTCCCTCCACTCCTGCCAATCAATCAAATCAGACCCATTGTTCTTACCGCATGGGAGTCTCATACCTCTAGGAAGGCTGCCTGAGTGAGTCTCCACGTGCTTCCTGAAACCCCAGACATTGCCATGTTTGTGTCCCGGTAGCAGAGTCAGATACCAATAGGGACTCCACTGAGGTGGGGGTGATGGAGTAAATAAAAGATGTTCCCTAGGGCTCAGGAAATCCATCCCTGCTTTGCTCTGGTGTGCTTAGCATGGATATCCCTCCTGTGGGCAAGCAGAATGCGGATTTTCGATGTAATTAGTCTCTGGAGACTGGATGCTTCGTCCCTTTCACCAAAAAAAATTGCCTAATCCTTGACAAACGAGACAAGGCTTCATAGCCCTCCCTCCACCTGGATCTCTACTGCCAAGTACAGAGATGCTATTCACAAATAGTGTCTGCCTCTTCCCCTTGCTTAACAGTGAGGTCTGTTAGGAATCATGTTCAGACATAGGCTTTTGTAGAAGCTATCGTCTAAATAAGTCCAGAGGAGGGGTTATTTCTTACATGCTTCAAATGGAGAAAGAAATTGTCAGCCAGCTGTTAATTTGGTCTGAGCATGTTTCCTGGGTAGTGGCTCTGGGTGGGACCCACCACATCTCAGGTGGGTTCAGGCTCAGGCCACAGGACTTCTTTCCTACCCATCCCTGTGGCCAGGGCAGCCTTTATGGCTCCAGTAACACTGCTGAACCTTCTGGGCAGTGATACTGACCCATTTCTCCCCCCACTGCACCCAACCCCATCTGTCCAGTCCCCTCCAGTGTGGAGAGCTCACTGCTTCCTGCAGCACCCCCCAAATCCCCTACTCTTGTGTTCTGAATAGATTTGCACTAAGTTAGCATACTTGGCTCCCTATATACTGCACTGTGGCTTTTCAGGGAAACTTTGAACTTAATCTGCGTAAGAAATAGCATGCAGAGAAGAAACGAGCAGAATTCCAAGCTGTGTTCCAGCAAGGCAGACACTATTCACGTGCTAATCAACTGGCATGCTACGCTGAGGAGCACCCCACACAACCTTCTCCAGTTCCAACTCTGGTGCTGCAGCAAGATTTGGTGGCATCTAAGCAGAGTCCCCTGATGGAGCAGCACCTCCCTGTCCTGATCCAGTAAGGAGTGGTCACAGTGATCTTCCCACTGCACACAAAGGCAAGGCACTCCTTAAAGGGACCTTCCATGGTGTCGCCAGCCTCAGTAAGTGCCGGCTCAGGAGCCCCAGCTTTCTCTTAAGGATGAGTGGGGAGGGGTCTTGAGACGCCTCCACCTCCACCTCCGCATCCTCCCAAAACAGGAGGGAGGCAGCTGACTGGCAGAGTGGATGGAGACCACGGGTCGGAGGGGCCGCTCGCTGGTAGCTGCTTCTTGGGATGCTCCTCTCCAGTTGAGCCTCCTGACTGTGATCCAGAGGGTGCTGGAGGCGCATCTTTGCCGTATGCCTGCGTTGCTTTGAGCCAGCGCCCAGAAGCCAGCCCTCCGCATTCAGGCACCTCGGACTGGCTCCAGGCAGGGCTGTGTGCAGTCACCATGAACGCTCAGCTCTAGGCTTCTGCACCAACCTCCTGACCAAATGGATCTGGCTGTTTAATCAGCCGAGATCACAGCCTGGGGAAGATTGAGGAGGCTGATCAGCGCTCCAGCTGCTGAGACAACTTCCAGCTTGGCTGTTTACTTCTTTGGGTCCCGGGGACTCTGTCCAGCACCTCAGCATCTCTTGCCGCTCTGTGGGCTCTGAAGTCAGCTGCCGGGACGCCTCTGAAGGCATCCAGGAAGGGTGGGGGCAAGAGGGGATAAAAGGCAGCAGAAATCCCCCCAAACTGCTCACCCTCTGCCGACCGCCTGTGCTGTGGGGTTCTGAGAGGACCTTGCGCTGTCCTGGGAAGCAATGCAAGTCTCTATAGCCTGCACAGAGCACAATTTGAAGAGTCGAAATGGTGAGGACCGTCTTCTAAGCAAGCAGAGCTCCACCGCCCCGAATGTGGTGAACGCAGCCCGGGCCAAATTCCGCACCGTCGCTATCATCGCTCGCAGCCTGGGGACCTTCACCCCTCAGCATCACATTTCTCTCAAAGAGTCCACCGCAAAGCAGACTGGCATGAAATACAGGTATGGATGAGAGGTCCCTCTGCCCGGGGTTTCCATGTTCTTTGCGGGGGCAGTCAGGCATTTTTTTTCGGGTTTCGAAGTCACTTAACTCAGTGCTGTTTTGCTTAATTTAGAATTCTCAGGTGTTTGCTTTTAAATTAGCCTTTTGGGTGGGAGGGGTGAAACACCCAGGCTTGTGTGCAAGCCTGTGTGAGATTTTTAAGATGTGGCCCATTTTGTATATTCGAAGTGTTATGGACACTTAGGACCTAAAATGAATCCCAGACAGTAAGGACACAGGAGCTGGAAACTCTCCTGTCAGGAGTTTGCCGGGAGCAGAAGTGCGTGTCCTGCTTGATGCACAGACAGTAGATTCTTAGCTTAGCCTATCAGAAGAGTTTTCCATCCCACACTGCCCCCTTGCCTTCCAGAGACCAAGATGAAATGCTGAGCACAGCTTTTAAGGAAGGTTCCCGGTAGGAAGAAACACCTATAATGGTAAATGAGAGTGAGCACCGGTGCATTTAAACCTAAATTACTGCCCGAAATGAGTGAAGACTGAGTGTTGTGAGATACGGTTTCTCAATGCTCATAAGACGTCTTGTTTCTGTTTCCTGTGTCATAAGGAGCTCGTTGTTTTCATAGACAGAAGTCTCTCTGTAGTAAGAGCAGTTCCCCATCCTGTGATGTGTTTCCTGCCTTCTCACCGTGTTTGCTTTGCGCCAGCCCTTGTGGACTTCGGTCCTGTAATATTGTTGCGCCTCTAGTTCCTTACTGTTTGGGGATACAAAGGAGAGAAGCTATGACCCATTGTCCAAATCCTTGGTTATTCTCACTTGCAAGTGAGACTGTTTGTGGCTTAGCTTTTATCTCCTTCGTTTGCTGGAGACCTGATTTTAAGACAAGGTGAACTCTGCACAGTTAAAATACTGCGCATGTTAAGACCGTTTTCTGTGTGGTGTATAAGCATTTAAACTTCTCTGTAGCAGTTGCCCTTGGTGAAAGTTTTATCTGCAGAGTTAAGGGAAACCTCCCACAGCAAGAGCGAATCTTGTTCTTCTGATGTTTTCACGCCACTGGGAAAGAAGAAGAAAACCTTTGAGTGGAGATGGGAGGAAGCCACCATAGCTTGAAGCTCTGAGCCACAACTTCAGGGTCAGGACAAGCCACCATATAGACCACCTGACTGTGGTCCATTCCCCTGAAATGTCAATGTCGTGAGACCTCTGCTTTTGCTTTCTTTCCTAATGGACAAGGGACCCCACAGTGACTTCACCAAATGAGACCCTGGTCTCTCGGGCTCTGGCATTTTCAGTGAGGCTGCTGTGGCACACACACACACACACACACACACACACACACACACACACACACTGGTACACACAGGCACGCAGCCTTAGTCCTGTGCACAGTCCTGCTGCCACCAGGACAGAGTCCAAGAACAAGGCACTCCAGGTTGAGGTAGCTCCAATGGTGATCTGGGGTATTTGGCTGAACAATAAATGGTTTTCCTGTAAGGCAAAGAAACAAAAATTAAAAAGCCACACCCCTGCTGCGTGGCCACAGGAAATTGTGAGTTGTGTCGCAGGTGTTTGTCATGGAACAGTTGTGTCTGCTGGGCTTTTGAAGTCAGGAGCTCTCCATTAAGGTTTTCCTATCAACACAGTTGAACTCAGATGGGTCTATAACTATCCCGCCTCCCCCAGAAGCTCGATGTGGGCAGCACTCATGTGGATGCCTTCCGTCGCTCGTGGCTAAGCACACTCTTCACTGACAATCATCGGGTTCTTCAGCACACTTGAGTTTGTAGCAACTAAACAAAATGCCTCTTTTCCAGTCCTCTCGTCATTCAGAACCTCTCCATCTATGGCAGGTGGTTTATGTGCCTATGAATCCGACTCCCTCCTTCAAATTCTACTCACAGTGACGTGGATAGGAAAGATTATGAGATAATGCCACACGCATGCCAAGCTTTCTTAGGGTATGGAGGAGTAAGGCAATAACTGTTCCTCCCCCACAAAAACATAGTGGGAATATCTTTATTGCCTGGATTATGTTTTTGTTGAATTGTTTCATCTAGAGTATAATGTGAGTGTGTGGAGTAGTTGTTAAGAATAATCAGTAAATGATTCTGTACAAAAGAGAAGGAGCCTGGCTTGTCTGGAGAGTCATCGGTGACACCAGGACCGTACGTCAGTGATTAATTATGCCATTCTTACTCTTGAAGATGGTTCCCATATGAAAGCTTCAAGGAATAGCCACCAACTCCTTGGGGGGGGGGAGAAACAATGCAAGAAGCATGTTCGTAGTTCTCATCAGAAATTTTGTGTAAGGAAGAAGCATTCATTTAGCCAGTAATAATTTATTGCACACGCACTCTACACCAGACCTGGTACTTAAATGCAGAGGCCTGGCAAGACTTAGGAACTAGCTTCAAGAAGGGAAAGGCACCATTATAGGAAACCAGCAAGCAGACATTGGAAATTTCTGTTGTGACACCCTCTTGTAGGGCTATGCACAAGGGTGCTATTCTTGTCTGTTTTGGGGCTACTAAGTCTGATTTCATCCTATAGCAAGTGATTTCATCTTGGAGCACATAAATGCCCAGATCTCCCACTCACTCTGCAACCCTACTCTTTAGGTTCAGCCTTGCTGTATCATGCCCAGTGCTCCCTGGCAATTTAGGACCTGCTCATAACCTTGAGGAATGAGTGGGCTTCTTTCCTCTCCTAGAATGATTATGACTTGTAAGTCTCAATTCTTAAACCTAGGAATATTAACCGTAGGTCAGGAGCTCATGAAACTGGGAACTTAGAAACAATATATGTGTACAAATCTGCTAAATTTATTTTGCAATTAGATTCTCACCACAGCTATGTAAGAATCTTTTATCAAACTGGGTATTTTGCCGGAGAGTGGACTTACTATGGAAAAAATAATCTACTAGAACACACTGCTGTTCAAGTGTTACTGTTATCAGAAGAACAAGACTCTTCCTAATGTTTACTCTGGGGTTGTCTGTATCTAAGGCTGCTCTGAGCTTTGGTGGTGCATGATAGTTACTTTGTTTTAGCTTTTCCTATGTTTTTAATCTGCACAGTATGATAGCTTGGTGGAAACTCTGCAAACGGCAAACATGAATGACATGCTGCAAGCAAATATGACATATGATGGGTCTCCAGGTGGTAGACATGCCTACACACACACACACACACACACACACACACACACACACACACACACACACCCTCCAACCCTGAGCTAATGAATCAGAGGTTAAACCAGGTGTCCTTACTGACTCTTTTTTTTCTGTTTGTTTGGGAGGCTGTTCTATTTGAAGGGAACTTTTTAGAATGCTACAGCTGTTGACGTTTGACATGGTGTGGAGCTTTTGTGATTATACAACACAATGTATTTGTATTTATCAACCCCCTCTTCCTGTTCTGAAACCATTGTTTTAGTTCTATAACTTAGACATCGATAAACTCAGTTTTATTAAGAACAATTTATTTGAGCCGTGACAATATGACCTTGTGCTGTGTGGTTACATAAAACATGCTTTGCAGTTAGTGAGTGAAGAGCTAGATGCAGGCTTTAGAATGCTGCAAATTTTTCTTTGAAAAACAAAAAACAAAAAACTACATACCTGAGAAATCATCTTTAGATCCCATTTTAAAATTTTTTTCAAGTTTTCCCGTTCTTAGCCAGCTGTGTTTTACCATTAAACTTTTAAAACTAATTATAGATGTGCAGGAATTTCTAAGTGTACAGACAATTTCCAAGGCCTGTTCAGTTTCCAGTACTGCATAATTGATACCATGGTTTGACAACTTGAAGACTGATTTGTAAAAGAGAATTGATTTGGATCTCATCATCACACATATGTTCATTTGAATGTGTCTATGTGGTTCCCCAGTCACAAGGCCCCCTTGTCCTGTTCCTTTAAAGTTCCTGTCCGGTTACTACGGCTCAGTAGCCAGCAATCTGTGATATGCAAGTAATTTCATTCTTATAAGAATGCTATATAATTGGAAACATACAAAATGTTATCTTTTAGAAATGGCCTTTTCTCCCCTCAGAGAATTTTTTTTCAGAGAAGTTGGGGCAGAACTATGCAGCCATAAAGGAGATCAGATTGCAGCATCACAGAAATGTAGAGGAAGAAGACATCAAGACATAGGGTGAACATCAGTAACGGGGCTCCACCAAGGAGTTGTGAGTGGTGTAAGCTCACGGTTGGGTTAGGTAACAATGACTCCATCGGTTGTTCCTCCGATATCTAAGAGGTCTGAAATCAGAGAATGTGTGTTGAATTTCATGGCACTCTTAGCAAAATCAAAACTCACAGAAAAGACACAGACCCTATCCCAGACACTCTTCTGTGCCGCTCCTCAGAGTTGCATCTTTAAAGCACACATAGCATCCATAGTCCTGCACCTTCTGTATCTTTAAAGCACACATAGCATCCATCACCCTGTACCTTCTGTATCTTTAAAGCACACATAGCATCCTTGGCCTTGAACCTCCTGTATCTTTAAAACACACATAGCATCCTTGGCCCTGCAACTCCTGTATCTTTAAAACATGCATTGTATCCATGGCCCTGCACCTCCTGTATCTTTGAAGCACACATTGTATCCATGCCCCCCCCCACCTCCTATATCTTTAAAACACACATTGTATCCATGAACCTGTACCTCTTGTATCTTTAAAACACACATTGTATACCTCCTGTATCTTTGAAGCACACATTGCATCCTTCACCCTGTACCTCCCACGAATAGTGGGTGGATTTCAAATCAAAGAAATTCAAAGAAAAGATCAATCTTATCAGCTGATTACATAAAAGGCACAGTGTGTGTGTGTGTGTGTGTGTGTGTGTGTGTGTGTGTGTGTGTGTGTGTTCCTGTGGGGAAAGTGGGAGGAAAGGGTGGGCTGCAAAGACGGAAGAGAAGAGCCAGATCTGTAGTCATGTTTCAGATGAAAATACTTGACTTCAGTCCAGAGGAAGGGGGCAGCCC